TTCGAGCGAGGTATGCACATCTCAACATTTGGAAGTATATTTTGCCGCAACACGCGCACGCACGCACTCACGCGTGGCAAGGTATATGGTGCAGTAAACATACAGTGGGCCAAAAAGCTTGAAGGGAAGAAGCTCGCGAAGCCTCGAACAGTTCCAATTATTGCTGCGCCCCTCAGCAGAAACGCAGACTTGCTGCTCAGCGTGCGTTCATGGACTTCATACGCAACGAACCCTAAGCGCTGAACTGAACTTCGCAAACTATGTTTAGTGCTCTCCCGACAGACAAGAAAAAAAAACAAGGAAAAAAGTTGGCCCCGTATCTGCATGTTCCACGGCAAATGTCGTCGAAAGACGATGTCTTGCGTCTGGAGAGAGTGAACAAAACGTTTACTTGATGTTCTGCGTGATAAAATCGGTGAATACTATTCTGGAGGCGCTGCGTTAGAGAGTCTCGATCTGTTCAGTGAAGGCGAACGAGCGCATCGACACACGTTAGATACGAGCACTATCTGGCAGTTATCTTCGCAAACGAAGGAAGGCGTGCGCGCCTGTCTCGGAGGCGATAAGATGTAGAACGCAAAGCGACGGGTAGGTGCCACCACCGTTTCGTCTTATCAACGTGTTAGAAACAGTTACCTTTTTTGAGCATCGCGTTGCAATGTCAGCGCAGGGTGATAAACGCTACGGTCCTTAGAATTACTTGTGTATGTTTTCTCTAGTATACAAACACACATATAAAATATTGACGTGTTATGATGCCTCAGATATGCGAAATAATTGATTTTTAATTGACACAAGGATAAACGCTGAAACTTGAGCAATATTGGTGGACGCTGCGGATAGGGTTAGCTGATGGGGGTATTGTTGGAAGCCATTTGAAGTATCGTTACAGGGGACAAACAGACAAATGTACAGACAGACAGACAGACAGACAGACAGACGAAATTTTTTTTTGCGTCGAAGTACCCCAAGAAAATCTATCGTCTATAAAACGCCACCCAAGCAATGGTTACCCAGCGAGGCTGATACGTGTGGCCACAGGCGGTTGCAGACGTCGCATACGAAACCGGAGTGCCACTCGAGATACTCCCGCCGAAAGCGGGCGTTGCATCTGGCCAACGCGTTTCTGCCATTGTCACTTTGAAGCTGCTCTGCCTGCGACGTCGCTTCCACGGCTCGCCGTTGTCGCTCGCATTCGGCTCAGAAGTCTGCTGGATCCTCGGTGAGCAATCGCTGCTTGTGGCGGAGCACTTCGCCATCCGGGCCTGTTCTTGTGCCCGGACTGCTGCATCGGCCCGGCGAACATGAATTCTCTCACGGATCAGCCGTCAGCACTGTTGTTAGAACGTTGTCTACTGTGCAGGCCTTCGTACGATCCATGCCCTCCCCACGTATAAGCTGTAAGTTAACACTGCAGTGCGGTCTCGGTGGCACGACGGTGCTCCCAATGGCGTACTTGCGATGGGTGCGACGTACAGAGAACGGCGCAAATGATGGTGCAGCCAGTGGTGACTATTATCGTTCCTCGTAGCAGCCAGATTTTCGATTAGTCTAGGCATAGTCAGTTTTCGCTGTCAAAGAAGACTTTTATCCATGACTGCGAATCTGGAACCAAGGCCATAATATATTAAGCACGCTTCGTGCAGACTACTACGTGTTCATGGAAAGTTCATGAGAATGCGCTGAGTTGTTTGTTCGAGGGCTGACATGCACAGTTTAATTCTGCGGCGCTCATAATTCACTTATAACGATAAAGAACAAAAGCCGTCTTGGGTAATTGTGCTCAAATATTGATAAATTTTGAAGCGTTTTTTTTTTGTTGGTCAAATGGTGGTTGAACAAACTCATCGTTGAATGACGTTGAGCTCATCGGTGAGATAAGCTGCCACGCTCCGGAAATATAAATGTGTTTGCAGACCTTCCAACAATATTTTGCACAGCCACGTGCCACAGGGGCTTACACTTAAATCATTGCAGAAGTTAATAGTTCAAGGTGGCCAAAATCTGTATCTACAGAGACATTGGGAAGCGATTGCGGTGAACTGCATGACATCATGCCACGACCGTTTGCCCAGCTCGGTAGTACCTATCTTAAAGGTACAATGTCAATATAAGGACAACTGCGTTGGCATTACAATGGCTTATTCACAGTCGCACCACACACCGTGGCCAGAAGTTCTACTGTTCTAGAGGTATGTGCATGAGTGGTAATTTTATCACCTTCTTGATATGTTAACGACGGTCGTCTATTTCTCCCTACAAGGCAGCTTTCCTGGACAGCCAAGAAAAGAAAAAAAAGAAAGAAAGTCGTGAAAAATGGTGTTGCCTCCCATCCTCGCCACGATTGTTACGTGTAGCATTTCTCGCGTTTTGCAATGGCCAGTCTAAACAACATGTCCCCCCCTCTCCCTCTTTGTGCATGAATTCTTCATGCCCATGTAAGCTGCCCTGTAGTCTTCGCAGTTTGTCTATAGCGTGCACATCCCTATCGAGTCACCCTTCCGAAGCATCGTGCAGCGCAACCAAGTATCCATTTCATTGCAGCCTGGTAACGACATCCGGTAGCCGGTACGCCTGAGCGGCAATTTCATCGCTTTACACTCGATCATGGCCAGATGTTCATCTTTTCCAGAGGTATGCGCTACATGGCTATTCACATTTTCCTATCTTTTCGTGTTTCCACCAACCGCACCATTCAGCTGCTAGCCGCCGCAACGCTTTCCCTACGAAGCATCGCACTACAATAGCGCTATAGTTTAATTTATTTTATTTTATTTATACTTACACCTACAGCGCCCTCTGGGGCCACATAATGTTGTATAGCGCTACTATTCGACGGCACACACAAGAGATACGCACGCAACAGAGCTCTCCGTTGTGCGTGCATATCTTCTGTGTGCCCCTTCGAATCATAGCGCCATAAAACTCCAGTTGTGCTATATACTTCAGCACGCCAAGCATACAACATTCAGTGCCTTGCCCTTGACTTCAATATGCATTCCACGCAGTACAGCAACAATGCGTACAAAACGGCACCTTTATAGAGCATTCCCTGAAATCGCTTCGCTCATTTTGCCGCTGCATCCAATGCGTGCTTAATTGGGCAACTAACTGTGCTATTGCAATGTACATCGACGACAAAATTATGTGAACCGCGCAATCTGTGCCGTCTACTGGTCGGCTGCCTGTTGCGAGGAGCTTTGCCTGTACAACGGCTTGTATACTCACGTCTTCCCGTGATCTAACGCATTGCAGAATGTCTCCTCTTCCAAGGGCTCATGGACAATTACGATCTAGCTGCCAGATGCCGCTGCGGCAGTGATCGCAGTCACTCGTCTGTGCACATATAGTGCATTGGAAGAGTTAGTGTCTTGCACACAGACCTACAGCATTTGGTTACGCCTTTTGCGCATACAGCCTGATAACTTTAAATAAATGCACTGGCGGAAGCAATAATTGGATACGAGCACACAATTAGATCGCGCGAGTCTGGCTGTATACACATTTGTCAGCCACTCCGGCGTGCGCTCAAGTGTTCCGTATTGTGACGTGGTCGACTGCTTGATGAACAGTGACAACACATAATCGCAAACACCTTACATAAAGTGCGCAGCGTTCTTTTTTATGTCGTATGTACTTTTTTGTTGCGCAAGGGAAATGAAGGCGCTTTCCAGTTTGCACAAGAGTATGGCGAAGGTGACGACGCCTGACAAGCTTATTGCAACGTCGGCCTCAGCGTTATTTTGCCGTCCGCGCCTGGCGATCATTTCAGCCTCTCGACCAATCTAACACCGGATCTCGCAGTGGAGGAGTCATTGCTGAATCTGAGGGCTACAACAGCGTTTGTTATCCGACGTCTTAATACGAGAGTGTACACTATATCAACGGAAGGAGCAAGGATTTCGTCACTTATTGCCGGATAGAACTTTGGAAGTCCGCGGCGTCGCTTGCACTAATGGGCGCGCACTTTTGACTGACGTCGTGAGCCGGATCGCCTGCCACCGTGCCTTCGGCGAACATTGTCGAGTGCCTTATTGGTAATATTAGGGCGAATGCCTTTACTGTCTCCCTCGCGTCCGTCCGTCCGTCCGTCCGACCGTGCCCTGTAATGAAGGCAGCTGTGACCTCTTCCCCCTCACACACTGCCTGCAATCACATGATGACACAGCGGGCACACACACCAAAAACAATACAGAAAAATAAAAAAAAACATGGCATATGTCAGTCACATGGTCACAGGAATTTCGTCGAAAACACTTCCGCTTGCACAAAGTGTGTCAGGAGGCAATCGGCTGTCATACTTCGGACCGTATAATGGTACCTCTTAAAGCTTACAAAGCTGCATCCGACCATATGTATAGTTCCTCACTAAACCCACTGACCAAGCTATGGTGGTTTCGTAGTTACGGTTCTCAACGGCTGACCGAATTCCGGCTGTGGCGGCCGCACTTCTAAGAATGAGAAAGAGCACCAGATAGTCAAAATTTATAGTGCTTTAGGCGTACCTCATACCATAAAATATCGCATCGGTGTTTATGGACGTGAAATCCCAACAGTTGTTATTCACCAAAGCCACTGGAAACACCTAAAGCACCACTATTCAGGGGTGTAGAGCATGAGAGGCTGCTCCGGCACAAGCCAAGAAGGAAGAGCTTGCCGCCACATAGACTATTTTACCGATGGGTTTCAGTGCCGCCATATTGCGCTCTTGCGCTCTTATTACCCTTTGTGTTACGTAAGACGCGTACCCATGGAAATGGTTGGGCTGGTGCGTGCCATGTTTCGTGACCTTATGAATTCACGTCTCGATATACAAAAGCAAGAGAGCATCGACTTCACAATCCAAGATGGCAGCGCCCACATATGTCACTAATTTATAGCTGCTCGATACCGCTATTTCCTACGTTTTGCTGAAGAATATCGGTGGACACACATGCACGTATGTCACTTTCTACATTTTCTTTCTTTCGCATCTGCTTGCAGGCTGCTGACGCAGACAATCACGAACACTTGTTGCGCGAGTTCGAAGAAGTGACGCAGATCCGGCTTGGTTCCGTCGGCGAACGCAAAGAGCACGAGTTCGAAGAAGCGATGCAGAATCGGCTTGATTCCAATCAATCGCCATCGAATACTGAGGAGAAAAAGGAGCCTGACTGCAACAGTGATCCGGTAATACTGAAAGTTCTCAATATGTGGAGCCAACAAGTAGAAAATGCGTAATTAGAAAATGCGGTATCAGGGATCATGGTTTAGAAAAAAAAAAGGAGGAAAAGCGCGCGCCGCACGGCCCCGCTGAGGAACTGGGGTACACTGAAATGAAACATTCAGGTTATGCTGAATAATTATACTTTGTGAACTCTAGTGGACATCGTTAACTTCACTATACTCTAGGTTAATTAGTACAAGTTTTGTCTGGAAACCTCCCGCATGCTCGGAGGCAGCTGTTCTGTGAGTTGTCACGTGACCAGAGAGTGCGACGGCGACCTTTTGACTGGGGCGGAGCCTACGTGCTGCGAACTCACTACAAGCGCCCAAGCATGTCGACGGCACGAGGCGCTCTTTAAGAACATGGAGTAGGTCTACGGTTTGGTAAGAAAGTGACCGATGGTGACTACTGAGAAGAGTTGCTTGTTGTGCAAGTCGGTACATACTTAGTGAACTTCAAGAGCCACAAAATGCCGAAATGCGTTTCTACTGCTCTGCCTTGTCCAGTTTCGACATTTTGTGGCTTTTGTATACAGTTCACTAAGTGTGGTGACTATGTCCGTAATCAACAGAAAATGGGTTCCACACGGAACCAATGAAGACTGTGCTCATCATACCTGTGTATCTTTACGCTAGATGGCCCCACTTTAACATGCTGCGCCATTTGTGTCTCGACACTCATGCGGTGAAGCCACCTTCTAGTTATCGTTTTTTTTTACATTCTTGTATAGTGATTATATAGTGATTGAACAGAAAGCATGGCACCGCTTTATTCAACAACAAAAAAACTCTATAAATTGATGAAAGATGTTTTTGGTGATATTGACACGTTTATTATTAATTTGCGTTTTCATGTCCACGCGGAGATTTTCCTGGGGAGACTTGTTTGGACCAAAGGGGGAGAGTGGGGGCGCCCTGGTGATTTGCCCCTCCCCTTTTCCCTAATGGAATACACAGCATGCGCCTATGGTATAAACAGACTACAGGTATGCCAACTCCCACATGTTTCTTTGTGGCTGCTTACAGGTGTGCGACACAGAAAGTGCCTTTGAATACGTCGTCGAGAAGACAGAGCAAGAATTGACCAAAAAGAACTCACTCCTACAGCCAGCCATCTGCAAGCAGCGAGAATAATATGGCCGACACGATGGCTACACTGGTATAGAAAATCACGGAAACGTGACGTCAAGGAAGAAGAGGAATGAATCGCCATCTTATCTGGACGGCAGGCCGCCGGCAAAAAAAAGGAAGACGTTTTAGTTCCGATCGAAGGGCACCGACAGGACGAAAACACCGCGGAATGCAGTGTTAACATTATTTTTAATTAGGCACTTTCGTTCATTAATTGCTCGCCCTGCGTCACTGTTTTAGGATTTCCGAAGGGTGGTGTTCTGCGTGTGTAACGTATACACCCAAGATCTTCTTCCTTCGATTTCCTTACATGGGAACAGGAAGGAAGAGGTGTTGAATGCGTAATTCTATCAGCCATCACAGTCATTTTAATTGTTCTTTTGCATTCTTTTACGTGTAGGCGTTGAGTATCACCATGCTGTTTTCACTGGTATCTGGGATTTTATGTTTCAAACCTACGATATGAGTCACGTTGGAGGGCTCCGTAAATTCGTACCATTTGATGTTCTTTAACGTGCACTCACATCGCACTGTACATATAGCGTTTCTCCTCCCTCGAAACGCGACCCCCGCCGCGGTGGTCTAGTGGCTAAGGTACTCGGCTGCTGACCCGCAGGTCGCGGGTTCGAATCCCGGCTGCGGCGGCTGCATTTTCGATGGAGGCGGAAATGTTGTAGGCCCGTGTACTCAGATTTGGGTGCACGTTAAAGAACCCCAGGTGGTCGAAATTTCCGGAGCCCTCCACTACGGCGTCTCTCATAATCATATGGTGGTTTTGGGACGTTAAACCCCACAAATCAATCAATCAATCAAACGCGACCGTCGCCGCCGGGATGGAGCCCGCTAACTTTGGATCAGCAGCCGAGCCCCATCATGTACATCCGAGATGGACTGAAGATTGTTTTAATAATAATAAAATAAAAACTTTGTTCGCCGCAAGCGCAGCCGCACGCTTTACGAAAGTATACTCTCGTTCTCAACGACAACCAACTGTTCGTATTGCCATAGTCGTATTATCCTCAGTCGTATTATCAGGTGGCTGGGATCGTGAAAAATGCAGCCCTGTAATGCGTAAAGATAAAACTTTTCATTCGACACGCTTCGCTGGCAAAGCAAGTATATAAAATTCACTGTGTGTGCAAGCAACATCAGCGTTTCAAGTAGGTAGCGCTAACACTGCATCGATAGCGGCCAGCACCGACAAAGGTAACTGACAAACCCATAGCCAAGAGTACCACCCCCCCCCCCCCCTTTCAGAAGAGGAGTGGCACTTGTTGAATGACTTGAAAACACCCATTTATATTGTCCTATAGCGGGGTAAAACACTCCCCTCCTACGAATTGGGAGGGGGATGGAGCACCCCCCTCCCCCGCTCGACTTGATAATCTATAATCAAACGAGCGAGTTAAACACCACAGCAATCACACGTGCGACGTCCTACGTTTCCGGATTCATCACCGGTGCTTCCGCAAGTTCCGGAATAGATTCATGAACTCGCGCCCTGTTCTTGTCAGAACATTCAAAAAGTCTCACGAATGTTGTCGTGCATACCAGCGGGTTCTGTTCCGAGTGGCGGTCAAATGATAATCGCTGCGGCTTTACGTACGAAAGCGCGATATGATTGTCCGGCACGCTGTTTTGAAGGGCTCTGGATATAATTTCGACCCCTTCAGGCTTATTGGAGGACCCCCAACACCAAAATTTCCAAGACAAGATGCTTCTGTTGTTTGTCCTGCATATGCGAGTACTTCCGACAAGTTATTAATGGTGACTGTTGCTTAAGCACACATTATTTTGGTTTTAAACTAAGCGTGAGTGGCCAGCACCACCTAATCACCGTAGCATGATGCCGACAAAGCCCACACTGTGACGGCAATCAGTTAATGTTGACGGCACAAACGAGTTCTTGGGGCTTTTTATCTTAGCTCCTCTCACCCTGTTGTAAATCTGCTGTCAGGATGGATTTTTATTTCATTTTCATTGCCTTAAATGACCTCTATATTATTTTACAAAAATTACGAAAGCCAGTTCCGCAACGGCGCGAAATTTCAGAAACGGGAGAGCTGTCAAGCAAGTACCGTCACCTGCAACTAACGCAGATGGAGTTTTTGCTTCATCTTTCTTCATCTTATCTCTTCTTTCGCCCATCTTTCTATGTGTCTTCTTCGCTCTCTATATTAACTTCTCACCTCTTTTACCTTCTCGCATCCCTCCTCACTCACACTTCTTTCCATCCCCTCGCATGCTGTACTATACTGTACACGGCCATGCTATTGTTTGTTTTGTTTCTCGCATTGTGTCCTCCTTACTGTCACTTACCTTTCTCACGCTCTCGTTATAGCATTATACTATACAAGGCTGGCGCTCTTCAGCTATACTATACAAGGCTGGCGCTCTTCAGCCACTCATGGTCCTTGCACCACAAAACTCCAGTAATCATCATCGTACACTAAACAAAGCTATGCCATTCTCTACCCTTTTCTCTTCACCTCTCCTTCCTCCTCGCCTCTAAATCACTCCTTCTCACCCTCCCCTTCTTTTCCCACCCCCTTGTTAAACTACACATTGCATGACGCTATGGTCGCAGTCACCTGGCACTGCTTATATGGCACTTAAACTACACACGCTATTCTAAGGATGCATACCCACTTTAATTTCCTCGCATTTTCGCAATTTAGGTGCCCGTGTCGCCCGCCGTGTATACCTTCTTCTGTCCTCGTTTTTTCTGTGCGGTCAAGATGTCGAACAGTGAGTACCAGCTATATAGCCAAACTCAAGTTCTCCTGGCGCTGACGAACGGACGTAGCTTCCTGTCCCCTTGTCACCCCCATCGTAGCTTTCAGTGCACTGGCTGGCCCAAAAGGCGACACAATTAAAGCGGTTAAAGCATGGGATTGATATCTGTGACTCCGGTTGTCCTCGACATACTCTAAAGAATAACCTTGCGGCAGTATATTCACGACGCACTAAAACCCTTTACATCAGTAGAGAAGTCACGCGATCATCGGTAGAGAGTAGACGCAAGCACATTTCTTGCGCATGCGTACCAGGTACTCGAAGTCGTCCTCGAACCGAGGTGGCATCCCCTGCCATACCATGAGGCAGCGTCGCTGTGGGGCTGCGACCACGCACGGCCCCTGGTGGGAGTCCAGCGAGCGGCCGAAGAAGAAGCGTCGCCGGTTAAACAGGACACCGGCGAGCACGGCCTCTGGCGGGAACACCAAGTCGTCATGGACGGACGGCGCCCATCCCCGAGTGCTCGTCACGCCCGATTCATGGGTGGGGCTGCCAGCGCTGCTGTTCGCGGACTTGTCAGACTCCAATTTTGCCCGGGCTATGCGTGCGTGCAAGGCAACAGAGGGCGCGTTCACGTTTAATAAAAGACAGGTAGTTTTGGCGCCTCTGTTGTTCTGTGGCTTCTTCTAGCACCAAAAAAAAAAAAAAAATGTCTCAAACAAGATCCTGAAAAAAGTTCGGAATGCATAATGACATACTCAGTACGTGACATTGTTGAGATTTTTGAAAGAAATATACTTTCTTAGTGCTCACGGGGCTTTTCAGAAGGAAGACAGATGATATTTTCTTTCAAAAGCGCTAGCTATCCTTCTCTCTGAAACACGCCCTAGCTGCGCGCTAAGAAAGTATATTTCTTTCGAAAATGCAAAACCAACCATCCCAAGCATAGCCACTCTTTAGCAGTATTATTCAGATATAAAACTCAGGCATGCGTAATGTGGTATACTTAATATGTAATGGTATTCAAGTTGCGTTCCGTCGTGCAATTTCTTCTAGCTCTCCCATAGTAGAGTATACCTGTTACTCTAAATTGTTGCGCACTTTTTCTAAACACAATTTCCGTACGCGTAACATGTAACGTTATTTCAGTGTACGTAAGGGCGTTTAGTTAATTACGGGGTAACCGAACGCTGCAGGTGACGGCATCCAGAGAAGCTTTGTCTTAACCACAGTGTGTCCGTGTATGGGTTTCACTTGAGTTCTTGTCGAAAATGAATAAGAAAAGCAGCGGCTCCAGAGAGTTTTCTGCAGTAGCCTCCGCGATCACCTCGGACCGTTGATGCTGCCGTGGAGGCGACGTTTGTACTCGCAAATATAACATAGTTGAGCTCTACGCTGTGAGACGGCCGGACCACCGATCCATTAGCATTTGCTCCCCCGGTAAACAGGTAATACGCAAACAGTCAGCTACTTGCGGACGAACAAAGGCATAATTCATAGGCCAGGCCGCTTTAGACAAGAGAACGCGAAAAATTTCCGATCTCTAAAATACACGTTAGGGCATTTACCTAGGCTAGTTGGCGTTGACTGAAAGATTCCATATATTGTTTGCGACCGCGCACAAGAACACAAAAAAGATGGGACGACCGCCAGACTTCAATTGATTTCTAATCGACATGTAATACAGAATATGAGCATTTCACTGTGCACACCTATAGGTGCCACGTCACAGGCAAGGTGTTTTCAAAGTAAATTTCACCACCGCCTATCTTTTGCCGCCAGAACACACATGGTTTTTGGTTGCGCAGGCAGCCCAATCTTTTTTTTTTTTGTTCGATAAAGCGATGGATGGAGGGCTGGTATACATGCCGTGACATGCGCCATCCACCCTGTGAATTTCGAGAGCCCCTGCTATATTCCTTTATCACTGTTGTCCAAAATACAGCTCGCAACGTAAGCACATTCTCGGAACGTTTCACTGCGTACAGAAAACTAAAACTTCATACGGACACCTGTTCACCAATTACCGAGTTCCTGCATTCGATGATTGCATGCGCTGCAAGCATTGGGAAGCTTCCCGAGCAGCAGACGCTACGTTTCAGGTACCACCAATAGCATGTGTTCAGAAAAAAAAAGGGGGAGGGGTGGAAGTGGCTTACGATTTAGAACACTATATGTACTCTACACTAAAGCAGAGCGCTAAGCAGTTACTATAACATTTATGCTTCAGAGTAATTTAAATTCGCCAATAGGCGAGTCATAGGACATTCCTAAACGGAACTACATATATCGAGAGGCTGTCGCAGATCATCGATAACGTTTAGACATATCAGTTTAGCAAAAAAAAAAGGGGGGGGGGTGGGGGGGTTAACAATTTGT